AAAAATCTCTGACAGCTTTTTTCCTGATAGAGGATTAATATCTAGAATTTATTGAGTCAAAAAACTACACACCAAAAAAATAAATAACCCACTCAATAAATGAACAAATGAACTAAACAACACTTTTCACAAGAAGATGGCCAAAAATATATGAAAAAATGTTCAATATCTTTAGTCAGCAGGGAAATGGAAATCAAACTACACTGAGATTTCATCTTGCTCTAGTTAGAATGTCAATCATCAAGAATACAAATAACAATGCTAACACGAATACAGAGGAAATGAACATTTTTACACAGTTGATGTAAGTATATATTAGTACGACCACTATGGAAAATCAATGTGGAGATTCCTCAAAAGACTAGGAGTGAACCACAATATGATCTAGCTATACCACTCCTCAGTATTTACCCAAAAGAACTAAAGTCAACATACTGTAGAGATACAAGCATACCCATGTTTGAAGCAGTACAATTCACAACAGCCAAAGTATGAAACCAGCCTAGGTGTTCATCAATGGATGAATAGATAAAGAAAAATGTGATATATAAACACAATGGAGTCTTACTTAGCCATAAAAACTAAATTATGTCATTTGTAAAAAAAAAAATAAAATAAAATAAAATGGATGAAACTAAGAGGATCATGTTAAACAAAACAAGCCAGACTCAGAAAGATAAGGTCATATGTATGTTTTCTGGTCAGAAGGGATCTCGTAAAAATAGAAGGGACACAGTAAAGTAGAGGAAAGGGGTAGGGCAAGGGGAAATAGTGAAAAGTGAAATCATTCAAAGTATTTTATATGCATGTATGAATATACCACAATGAAACCCACATCAACAAAAAATAAAATTATAAACAAAACAATTCCTAAGTTTTCAATTGCTTACTATTCAGAGACATATTATGAAATCCCATGCCATTCCATTCTGTCCTGCCCAGGATGCAAATCATCCCTTTGTTCAGAGTATTCACCTACCTGTCTATTAGTCACTCAGTAGCTATCTCCACTGCCAAATTGAGTTGTCTCAATATTCTAGTAATTCTTATTTTATCTTAACAATGACCCTAAAGGACAAGAGTAGTGAGGCTACGCCAGACATATCTGTAATCAATGATCCATAATCAACTCAGGGGGCTGAGGCAGGAAGATTGCAAGTTTGAGGACAGCCTCAGTAATTTCACAAGACTCTTTGTCTAAAAATTAATATACGTATAAAGGACTGGGAATGTAGCGCACTGGGTTCAATCCCCCACACCCACCCCCGAAAAAAGAGTAGTGATGCTAGCGATTCAGGTAGGCCAAGGAGAAGCCTTTAAGTGAAAGATGAAAATACAATAAGATATTTTGAGAGAAAGAGAGCATCAGGCCACATTCGTGTACCTTTTATTTGAGTTTATTGTTTTTGTTGTGTCATCTTATTAGTTATTGCTACTAATTTCTTACTATGCTTAATTTATAAAGTTTTATAAGTACAAATACATAGGGGAAACATAGTACATATAAGACTTGGTACTATCTGTGGTTTCAGACATCATTGGGAATCTTAGAATGTATCTCCCAAGGAAGGGAAGACTCCTGTACCTAGAATCTTTATCTGAGATTTAGGTCTAATCTGAATAGGATCATGTACCCATGTGTACAGGATAGAAACCCTATTTAGATCACTTGGTTAACACAAAATATACTTTTAKAACAAAAAGTAACTTTTAAAATTACATTAAGTCAGTATTTATAGGACCCAGGCTATATGGCAGGAATCTTCTAGGCACTGAGGCTAGTATTAATGGGACATTAATGACAGATGGGGTTCCTACAGTCATGGAACTTTATATTCTAGTGAGAAGAGGACAAAAAATAAGAAAATTAGCAAGGAGAAAAAGTCAGCAAGTGCTTCCATAAAACATGCCTGGTTTACTGGAAGCAGAAAGGAAACCCTTAGCTCTGTCTTAGAAGACAGTCACCTCCCACTGTCCCTCTCCTCCACTTTCATCCTCTAGAATCCATAAAGCACACAAAATTCACTACCTACTTAGCCTTACATATTGCAGAAATCTCTTTAATTCTACTGTAGAATGGGGGAAAGTATGAGAACAACTCTGGCCAGAAGTAATCATTTATCTTYCTCTTGGGTTTTTACATTGCTTCCAGAGACAATTTTAGATTGCCCTTATGCTTTTCTCCTCTTATCATCATTTATCCTCCTGGAGGTTACTTATTAGTTCTCTAAGTTCCCACCCTTTATCCTACTACCTACTGCTCTTTGGGTACCCTTGCATTACAGTCTCATACATACATACACCCATACATGTGTACATAAACATACTCATATACTCTTTTGTTCTTTGTGACTAACGTCTTACATGTGTCAGAAAGTTAGATAATGCCTGTAATTATCTAATGGGAAGTTGAAGCAGAGGATAAGTTTGAGGCCAGTCTCAGTGATTTATGCCAGGCCCTAAGCAACTTAGTGAGAGCCTATCTCAAAAGTAAAACTTAAGAAGGGATGAGGAGCTGGGCATAGGGGTACAAGCCTGATCCCAGCAACTTGGAGTTTAAGCCAGTCTCAGCAATTTAGTGAGATCCTGTCTCAAAATAAAAAATAAAAAAAAGCTTAGGATGTGGCTCAGTGGTAAAGTGCCCCTGGGGTTTAATCTCCAATACCCCACCCCCCAAAAATTGGTAATGTTGCTTCCTATGGAAAACTAAGAGGCTTTCAACCTCACAAGCTTGGTCTCATTAATGAATTAAGGCACATATAACACTTGGCACAATGCTGTTATTAGTCATCACACATACCATGGGCTGTAAACCCTTAAATGAATGGAAATTCCTCAGGGAGCTGATGTTATATACAAATCTAAACTTTGTATATATCTGCATTATTCTGGGAAAAGACTTTCAGATTCAATGATTGCTAAACTCTAAAACAAAATTAAGAACACTTGAGAAGCATATCAATTTTATCATTTGCTACCAACTTAGAAATTAACTTGTAAAATTTAATTCAACCCAAAGTTATTAAGCACAACACTGTGTCTAAACACATATGCTAGAAACACATTAGTAATAAGCCCAACATGGTCCTTGCCATCAAGCAACCTAATACTAATGACTTTGCTCTTCTGTTTTTTGTTTTAATTAATAATCACCGTAACCAATAAAACTATTTTAGGTATCTAAAGAAAAGGAGATTATCTCCTTTAGGATGACCACTTCCAATCCCAAATGTTAACATAGTGTACTCTATTCCAAACCTTYTCCTGTTCTCACATAAATATACATTTATTCATGGGGTTTTATTTTATATTTATTTTTGTTTTTCATAAAAATCATAAGAATCATACAAGATACATTATCCTATATTTTGCTCTTTTCAAGTGTCATAAATACCCTTCCAGATCAAAAGAAATAAAAATCCTATTTTAACTGTTTTATCATATTCTTTAATAAGAATGTAGAAATGTATTCACCCATTCCCCTGGTTGGTGGACATTCAGGCATTAAATTATTTTCTTATTACAAACAAGACTACTATTAGCATTCTTACATCTTAATCTTTAATGCTTTTATTTATTGGGGTAGATCCCCAAAAGTAGAGGAGCAGATCATGGTTAGATACAAAGTGTATGAGCTACTTCCAGACTGCTTTCAAAGCAACTCACTCTTCTACCAACAATATACATAAAAGACTTTCTTCACAACAYTTGATCATTGCTACATTATTATTGCTATGTTGATAAACTTATCAGTACAAAGGGCAAAAATATCTCGTAGCTTTTTAAAAATAAACTTACCTGCCTAAGGTAAAGTTTATATTTCTACTGGGTGGTTTTATATTTTTCTTGTTGATTTGGGAATTTTATTTTTCTTTCTTAAGATAGGATGTCAGAAAGGTAGCAGAATACAACAGTTACTACTATGGCATTATGTAAAAATGTGGATGTGTAACCGGTGTGATTCTGCAATCTGTGTTTGGGGTAAAAATGGGAGTTCATAACTCACTTGAAACTAATGCATGAAATATGATATGTCAAGAGCTTTGTAAGGTTTTGAACAACCAATTAAAAAAAAAAAAAGATAGGATGTCACTATGCTGCTTAGACTGGTTAAGATCCTCCAGCCTCGGCTTCCTAAGTAACTGGGATTATATGTGCATGCCCTGCCACATCAGGCATGTTTTAGTCCAATCTATTATAGTTTTGAACTCTGTTGTTGTCTTTTCTTTCCCAACCAATATTATCACTATATCTTTTAGTCTTTCTTAGGAAGATCACTTCCAAACTTAACATTTTTGTGCTCATACTTGTATTTGTTTTACCTGTGATGCTTAAAATCTCTTTTTGTATGAGGTAGAAGCTCTGTGTTTTCTTTCAGAATGCCAATTATGCCAGCATTATTCATTAAATAAGTATTTCCTCATCCATCTCATCCTATGTATTCATATCTATTTCTGGATTCTATCCTACACCGATGATCTATTTCAGTTTTGTAGAAATTTTCAGTATCCAGTAACAAGCTCCCTCTTCACTTATCTTTTCTTTCACAGTTTTCTTCCTTATGAACTTTAAACACATTTTATCCAGTTATAGGGAGTATGAATACAGACGAATATTTAAACAAATATCATTCTTGACCCAGAACATAGTAGGGCTTTCCATTTGTTTTAGTATAATTTTATATCCTCCATAAGATGTTTCCATTTTCTTAATACAGCTTCTGAATATTTTATTAAATTCATTCTAAAATAGTTTTATAATGTCTCACTATATGATATTTTTTTCCATTCCCATTTATAATTTGTCATTTACCTATATTTCTCATGTCTTATAAATGGCAGATGTAATATCACAAACTCTACCAGCATGTATAGCTTTCTTTTAATTTCCATTCCAAATATAAAATTTCCCTTCCTTCTTCTTCCAATTTTCTACTAATACTCATACACATCAATGTATGAACACACATTTTCAGAAATAAAAATTTGTATCCAACATACCTTTTCCTTTTGAAAGGTGACTTTGGCATATCAGCCACAGGGATCATTTGTTCTCCTGGACGTACCCACATAATGGGACCATCATCACTGTCTTTTCGACTCTCTAATTTTAGACTAGATAATGTCCCCCATGGCAGTGTACACTAAAGACAATTATACAGAAATTATTTTTAAAATGTATCTTCAAATATGCATTTAAAAAATAGTTCTCCCTTCACAAAAACACATTCATATATAATTTAAACATCTGAAATACATATCCCTACATATTCATAATTTAACTTCAAAAGTTCAATTTCAAACATACCAAAAGAATAATTACGCTTGGATGGCTCCCTCCCCCTACCATGCCAGGGGAATGATTCAGTATATTCATAATTTGTTATTATTCTTTCGATGAACATATGGGTCATATAATTTTAAGTTGGAAAAATGAGCAAGTGCCCATTAGTAACCACATAGACTAAATATCTGCTTTTATAGATGAAGAGACCAAAGCCCTGAAAGTTTATGTGGTTTGCTCAACCCAGGTAGGTCTAGTCAAGGCTAAAACAAAGGTATACAATTTCCCTGGTCTTTTTTTCACAATGTCAAACTTCCTACTATGGTTTAGATGTAAGGTGTCCCCCAAAAGCTCATGTGTGAGACAATGAGCTTAAAAAGTTTAGAGGTGAAGTGACTGGGTTCTGACAGCTGTAACTAAATCAGTGCATTAATGCTCTGATAGGGATTAACTGGATGGTAACTGTAAGCAGATAGGATGTGACTGGAGGAGGTTGGTAACTGGGGGCATGCCCTTGGGATTTATATTTTGTCCAAAATGAGGGTCAATCTCAATATCTATCTATCTATTTCTATCTCTATCTCTCTATATATAAATAGATAGATAGATATAGAKAKATAGATATAGATATATAGATATATAAATTTAGAAAATGCAGGTATACCAACTTTTGAATATAATTTCAGTGCTATTATAGATTGAATAATGAACTCTTATGTCCTAAGGAGATATTGTAGTCAGTTCTCTAGAATTATTTTGTTTATCTGAACTGTTTCCATAAGCTGTRTATGGTAATATACTAAAACACTGTCATTCCTTTATCCTAGACATTTTAATTTAGTAATCATCCTTCCTGCATGTTTTAGTCAGCTTTTTCACTGCTATGACCAAAAGTCCTGACAAGAACAATTAGAGGAAGAAAAGCTTATTCAGGGGTGCTAATARTTTCAGAAGTCTCAGTCCACAGACAGCCAACTCATTCTTTGGGGACATAGCTGAGGCAGCACATGAAGGAGTTAGAGGTGACACAGGAAAGYGGCTGGAACATGGCCACCAAGAAGCAGAGAGAGAACTCTGCTCAACAAGAACAAAATGTATACCCCAAAGGCATRCCCTTAGGGACCCATGTCTTTCAGCCACAACCCACTTGCCTACAGTTACCACCCAGTTAATCCCTAAGAGGGGATGAATGCACTAATTAAATTAAAACTCTCATAACCAAATCATTTCACCTCTAAACTTTCTTGCATTGTTTCATACATGAACTTTTGGGGGACACCAAATATSTAAACCATAACACTATACTTCTTAAATTCTTCGTACGTATTCTATAAAGTGGTAATAAACAGATGGAAACTAATTTTCTAAAGTGATTGTAACAGATAGTTATTTTCTGGTTCAACACTCAGCTTTGCCATTACAATTAGGACCTGAGAAGTAAGTTACATATATACACTATATAATATCGCTATTTTTCATTTCTTCCTTTCCTTCCCTCCAATTTAAATAAAACCAAATTTATATAAGCCTGAAATAGCCATTAATTTGTATCACCTGTAGTATAAAATTAACAACCACAATTTAAATTGATTAGATTATTTTCCCTTACTTTTAAAAATGGTGAGTCTTCCAACATGTCAAGAAATTCAGGGAAGTAATCTCCCACTTCTTCATCAACTGCTCCCACCAAGCTTATTTGTCGCATTGGGCCAGCTCTGTAAGTACCATGAGAATATGTTCTTTTTACCTGAAGAATATGAATTTAATAACAAGTTACACATAAGATAATGCTTGCTATCAATGTGTAATAATAAATTATACTGTCTCAATGTTAAGAATATATGAAGCAAGAAAAGCAAAACAAAAAGCATTATTAACTAAAACAAATAGTTTATTTAATGTAAACCCTACATTAAACCTAGCTATTTCGTTCTCCAACTATTATTATACATAGCTTATGGAAACAGTTCAGATAAACAAAATAATTCTAGAGAACTGACTATAACATCTCTTTAGGACATAAGAGTTCGTTATTCAATCTACAATAGCACTGAAATTATATTCAAAAGTTGATATACCTGCATTTTTCTAAATTTATTGCTCATATGTTATCAGATTTTAAGTCACCATCTGAAAAAGTTACAAAAACCATTACTAGTGGTTTCTATGTCTAAAATGTCACAAAGGATGATCTTCTTATCTAGATCACAACATACTACTTTGCAGCCAGTTTGCATAACGTTAATTCCAATGAAAAACTGCTAGAAATTGAAAATCAAGAATCTCAAGCCCCAAACCTGCCTTTGCCACCTACCAGTTATGTTACCTTCAGACAAATAATTATTTAAGTTCCCTGAGATTTAGTTTACTTAACTGGAATGTTTTGCCTCAGATTTACCCTAACCCTAACCCTACTTAAGAAAAATGTAATAATTATATAAAGCCACCTGTCACAGTGCTAGCAAACTGCTGGCATTCAAACAGGCAAAATAAGGAAGGCTAAACCTCCAGATTCACTGATATGTGAATTTTCACAAGCATATTTGAATCCTGACAAACCCATGTGTTTTCATATATTAACACTAGTAAATAAGAGTAAAATTAATAATTAGAAAACCAATACTTATTAACAAATTTAACATTTCTGCCCTTATAAGAGTAAAATTTCTGTGTTTTAAGTGAAACTTTTTTTCATAAAACAAACATTTGAGGGCAAGGGTGGAATATTGGCAATTAAACCCAGGAGTCTTTACCAGAGCCACATCCCTAGCCTTTTTATTTATTTTGAAGCAGTGTCTCCCTAAGTTGCTTGGGGCCTTACTAAGAAGCTGAGGCTAGCCTCAAACTTGAGATCCTTCTGCTTCAGCCTCTTGAGACACCTGAATTATAGGCATGCACCACTGTGCCTAGCTCAAAAACAAATTTGATGTGAAACCCTAATTATTTTCTTCTCCAAATTAATCTTTGTGGCCATTAAATTTAAGAGATCAACATGTTCCAGTTTACCAAAGATTAAGCATATTTTAAAAGTCAAAGTCTTGTATCCCCAGCAAACTGGGATGGTCTACCTTTGTCACATTATGGACACACTGAAAAATCCTCACAATCACAGCTATTACAGTAACAATGCCCCAACRTTCCTATCTCCAGAAACGTGGCAATAAAAAATTAATTTTAATAGAAAATTTTGACAATGATATTAGAGTATTTTATTTTTATCACAGTTGACAATGCAGTATAATAATAATTACATTAATGTCTCAAAAAGTTTACTAATAAGGAGGAGAGAGGCGAGAAGGGAAGGGAAAAGAAAACAAAAATGAAATCAAACAACTTATATTATAAAACACAAAATCTCCAAGGTTTTGAAATATAACACTTGACTCTTAAAAGGCAACTTAAGAAGGTAATAGTTCCACTTCACACAAATAAACTGTTTATCAACTTCCTTATCTTCTTATTTAAATCAAATATCTCATCTAAGTCACTAATTCAAAGAAAACCAGAATCAAATAAACCATTGTCACTCAAGTAGCTCTTGATACTCATCACAGTATCAACAATGATCAATTAAATTATGTGAGCACTTTATCATGGGTGGGAGTGGGTAGCCTTGAGAATTTTTAGTGAGTGAATTCTTCTAAAATGCTAAACACAATTCAATTTACAAGCTCTCTAAAAAAACAGCTTTAAACACACCTTTAAAGTAAAACCAAATGGACTGTTATCAACTGGTCCTCTCTTCCAAGGGAGTATATATAGCAATTCAATACATGCAAACAACATGTATTGAACAACAAAGAAAGAATGCTCTCTGATGTGAATGTTAGAAGAAATTTAGGGGTCAAAGATAATCCTCTAAAGAGGATTATCTTTGACCCCTAAAGAAACAAGTCTGAAATCAGAACAGTCAATGTATCTAGTATGTACAATGAGGTTATACATAATTCATTTCTCAAATAACTGACACAGTTGCATTCTACCCTAGGTATTGTCATGCAATTAAGATAACTATTTCTATTCTACCAAAAAAATGCCATTATGAAACCATAGAAAAATAGGGGAGAAGCAAAATTAATAATCAGAAAACCAAAACTACTTATCAACAAATTTAATAGTCAGCCCTATTAAAAGTAAAATTTCTGTGTTTTAAATACAAGAATATGTATCATTGAGTAACAGAAAATAATTGGTAAAACACCTTGGGTGATAACAATATAAATGCAGGTGGAATGAAATGAACATCATAACCCTAAGTAYATGTATGAAGACACAAGTGGTGTGACTCTACTTTGTGAACAACCAGAGACGTGAAAAATTGTGCTCTATATATGTACTATGAGTTGAAATGCATTCTGCTGTCATGTAAAACAAATTAAAATAAATAAATTTAAATATATATAAATGATATGTTCTGTCATAACTCAAGTGCTTTTACTAACTTTGATTTAATCAGATGTTCCTATTTGAAGTTAGAAGAGTTGTTTCATTACTCAGGAGACAGGGCAGAAGGRGGTCCCAAGTTTGAGGCCAGCCTTATCATTTGACAAGACTCTGTCTCAAAATAAAAAATTAAAAAGGAGCTAAGAATGTGGCTCAGCAGTASAGTGCCCCTAGGTTCAATCCCTAGTACCACAAAAAATAAAAAGAATGATTGTTTCATTGATCAAAGGTACATAATGGACCTAGCCATCTCATTTCATTCAAATTATACACTTACATTAATATCCTCTCAAATTTACAAATGTTCCTTAAAAAATACAATGAGTGCTGGGGTTGTGGCTCAATGGTAGAGCACTTGCCTAGCATGCGTGAGGCACTAGATTCGATCCTCAGCACCACATATAAATAAATGAGTAAAATAAAGGTCCATCGACAATTTTAAAAAATATCTTTAAAAATACAATGAGGGGGGCTGTGGATGTGGCTCAAGCGGTAGCTCGCTTGCCTGTCATGCATGCGGCCAGGGTTCGATCCTCAGCACCACATACAAACAAAGATGTTGTGTCCACCAAAAATTAAAAAATAAATATTAAAATTCTCTCTTTCTCTAAAAAAAAAATACAATGAGGGGCTGGGGATATAGCTCAGTTGGCAGAGTGATTGCCTTACATGCATAAGGTCCTGGGTTCAATCCCCACCACCCCCCCAAAAAAAAAAACAATAAAATACATATCTAAATTAGTATAGACCTAAACATTAAAAACTTTAACAGACTGAATAAAGTAGAACTTATTTTCCCCTTATCCTATGTTCAGTTTGGGACCACTTAAAAAGAAACTTTTTTTTTTTTTTTTAAAAGAGAGAGAGATTTTTAATTTTTTTTTTTTTTTTAGTTTTCAAGAGATACAACATCTTTGTTTGTATGTGGTGCTGAGGATCGAACCCGGGCCGCACACATGCCAGGTGAGCACGATACCACTTAAGCCACATCCCCAGCCCAAGAAACTAATTTTTGAGGCTTTTAAAATATGGTCTTCTTCAAATTCATAAATATTCCAAAGGATTTTTGGGAAAGCCTAAATTTTAAAAATAAAATAATGCAGATTTTATGAGAATTATATTCAGAAATACCTTAATAGAATTTTGGGGGTTAATTTTTTCCTAACTCATGGCAAATACATACATATTTATATACAAAGTTCACATGCACACTTAATGGTAGGTCTCTCTCCATCTTAACCAAATGTGTTAAAACTGTAAAGTAGATCCTTGTTACCCACRATTGAAACCCAAGGTAAAATCTTCTTAGGGAATTCCAAGGAAAAAAACTGCATTCTTAGCTATCATGTTTAAAACAAAATAGTAATTTTCTTTCAAGACATTTATTCTCCAAGTATTATACTCTAATAAACCAACTAGATAGGTACAAATATATTTAAATTTTAAACTAAATTTAGGCTGAGGCAGAAGATTACAGTTTGAGGTCAGTCTGGGCAACTTAGCAAAGACCATGTCTCAAAATAAACATTTTTAAAAGGGCTGGAAGTAGAGCTCAGAGGTAGAACATTCATTCCCGAGTTCAACAACTAGTGCAAAAATTCTAAATTTAAAAATTATATTAAAAAAGAAACACACCAGATTATAAAAACTATACATATGGATCCTCTTATTAATTTAAGTATACATCTCTCAAAAAGAAACAGAAGACAGGCATGATACACTTGATGTATTTTTGCAAAAGCTTATATTTAAACAGTGCCTTTTAGAAAAGATGTAACATTTTTGTAGGGGCTACCAGGGATTGAACCCAGGGTACTTAACCACCAGCCACATCCCCAGCTCTTTTTTATGTTTTATTTTGAGATAAGGCCTCACTAAATTGCTAAGGCTGGCCTTGAATTTAAAATCCTCCAGCCTCAGCCTTCTGAACTGCTGGGATTTCAGACATGTGCCAACAAACCCAGAAAGATATAACATTTTTAATCTAAATCTTCCTATAGTCTATCCCACACCACCCAAAAATAAAAACTGCTACAATCACAGCTGCATTTTCAATTTTCTTTTCTATAATCTCTACAAATGTTACAAAAGATAGAAAAAGCAAGTAGGAGGCTTCTTGTATCCACTGCCAGTAAGTATCAATAACAAAATCTCATGAACTTAGTTAACAAAAAATGAATTAAATTTTATTTAAACTAAAACTCTATTCATCATTCCTCACATAAAATAATCTTTAAATTAAAAAGCAATCTTTACCTGGGCATGGTGGCACACCCCTGCAATTCAAGCTACTCAGGAGGCTGA